AAATATTATTCTCTATAAGTTTTGTCCCATACATAATTTTCCTAAAATGGCCCGTATTCGAGAAAATTGAGGAATAGTGAAAATTTCGAAATTTTGAACATAACTAAAAAACGGACAAAAGGAAAAACACCAAATTTTTAATTTTAATCTACCCTGCGGTGAGCTGAATATATTTTGGGCATGGTCAGAACATCTGGGGGGTACTTTATAGAAGGCCATTTTTCTACTTTATGGAATATATTTGTTATTTACACTTGGAGAAGAAACTTCTTTGAATAAAAGTTGTTTGCAATATTATTCTCTATAATTTTCGAGATAATTTTGGTTGCATACTTAATCTTATCAAAATGACCCGTATTCGAAAAATTTGAGGAAATGTGAAAATTTCGAATTTTAAATTATATCTCAAAAATGAATAAAGAGAAAAACACCAAATTTTAAACTTAAGCTTAAATACATTCTGTGGTGAGTTGTCTAAATTATGGACATAGTTGAAGCATCTGGGGGTGTTTTATAGGGGGTCGTTTTTTTAATTTAACGAATATCTCCGTTATTTACTATTGGAGAAGAAATTTTTTTGAATAAAAGTTGTTTGCAATATAATTTTTTATAATTTTTGTCCCATACATAATTTTTCTTAAATGTTATTCTTTATATTTTTTGTTATATACATGATTTCCCTAAAATGAACCGTAGTCGAGATATTTGAGATAAACTGCAATTTCGAATTTCAGTTTAAAAACGGAGAAAACACCAAATATAAAAAATGTTTCGAGTAAGATGCATGTGGAAAATGTATTTAGTTCATCCTCTAAACATTTACAGGGATGATACAATAGGTTGTACAAAATAACCGGAAAAAGCCTGTACCTAATAACTAGATAGGAAAGTCATGTATTGGACCCATCAGATTTTTTTCCAAAGTTAAAATTTTTCCCCCACAGTTAATACCTATCTTATCTTTTTATTTCTTATATTTTATCAAAAGTAAAGTGAGGGAAAAAATGCTAATCATTAGTTAATAAATCCGGAACAATTATTTATTTTCCTAATAATTTAGGACCTTATTAAGGACCTTATTTACTAACTCTAGATAAATCTTTAGAAATACTTGGTTATTCTCATATATTTTTCGGGCATTATCTGGATATACTCAGTTATTCTCTCAGTATTCCAGGGATTTTCTAGGTATTTCCGGGGAAGTCTCTGGGTATTCCCGGGAAGTCTCTGGGTATTCCCGGGAAGTCTCTGGGTATTCCCAGGAAGTCTCTGGGAATTCTCAGGAAGTCTCAGGGAATTCCCAGGAATTCTCAGGTATTCCCAGGAATTCTCAGGTATTCTTTATGTTAGGAATTCTTGTGTACCCATTTTTTGGATGTGTTTACCCCTCGTGAGATCCACAGTGACCAAGGCAGAAATTTTAAAAGCCAACTCTTCCGTGGAATCTGTGACAGACTAGGCATGAAGAAAACCCGAACCACAGCATTGCACCCACAATCTGATGGAATGGTAGAGCGAATGAATAATACCATTGGAAAATATCTGTCAAAAGTGGTTTCAAACCATCAGCGAGATTGGGATCAGTATCTTTCGCTCTTTGCAATGGCTTAAATAGATCCGCTGTCAAGATCAGTTACCAGCCCCTGGAAAAGCATTAAAACTTCAAGATGGATCGCGTTATCTTTTCTATTTGGTAACAAAGAACACCTTCCGAGATCGATCCACCTATCAGGATGTATGGGAAGCATTACTCAGTCTGAGGGAGCATGTATTGGAGTCTAATGTACAGAAACTAGCTATGCCAAAGATGGAGAGCAACCAGCTGAATTGGAGGATCATTAGAAACATGGTGGAAGTAATCTTTCAAGATACCCAGGTTGAAAAACTGGTCTGCAGCCATTCTCCCAGCGTTCAGGTTAAAACGAAGACTGTCCCTTGTTACTTCCATGCAACTGGAAATTGTAAAAGAGGATCCAATTGCAAATACAACCATTCAGTTTTAGTTCCAAAAGGAACTATTTCTTAAGAAGGGGATAATGTCATAAAATTCCTAAAGCGCAACCTTGGAAGTCTGCCACTCGATTCATGATCGAAGCAATGCTGATGTGTGAAGATAGTCGGACCGCGTCTCGAATATACAAGAAACGACGGAATCTTCTAGGTATGCCGCTGACGCTTCGAGAAACTGCCGTTGAGTTATAGAAATGAAATTTTCGGGAGTGTCTAGAAACTACAAGCTAAATATTGGCTTGGTATCAAAACTTCAGGTGGCTTCTTCTCTCGTGAAATTGATTCAAAATATACTACTAAATGTAATTCATAGCTATTTTAACAATGTAAATATACAAATACATAAATAAATCTAATAATAATTGTCGGTAAATTACAGGTATACATCATAACTCTATATCAAACGATTTTATTATTATTTTTATTTTATGAAAGGATTAACTGATTTTCCTTTCAGAAAAGTGTATTTTTAAAACAAACATTTGCCAAATAATAACCAACTGTTTATCATAATCTGTGCCAATTTTGAGAGAATAAAAATTGCTTGTACATATTAATATCTTTTACGTTATGTTACAAAACTACACGACATTTCTTAAATAAATCTAATCACGAATCCGAATTATTTTTTATATTTTTTTTAGAATTAAAGAAATTCCAAAATATTTTACAAATCATTTAGAAAATTCACAAGCCTATATATTATTTCTGATATTAATAAGTTAAAAGTTTACTGCTTAAGGTAGATTTCAATTTGTAATTCGAACGACTTACTAAAAAAATCGATTATAGACAAACTATTTTAGAAACTATACCTAATTCCTTTCAACAGTTATTAAAGAAACAAATTGTATTTAAAAAATAATCAATTATTGCCAAAACTTTTTATTGGTAAAACCAGTATGTTAATTTTTCATATGATCATAATTAACAGTACCCGTGTCATTTATATTCTTGGTGATATTTTATTACGTTAGATCTGACCCAAAGTGACAACATTGTGCGGTTGGATCAGACTTATTTATAAATCGATTTGTAACTACTGAAAAATATGAATTATTCAAATGCTGTGATTGGCAAATCGGTAGATTTAAAAGTACAGTTGGAATTCGTGTAACCTGTTTACAGTGTTTACTCCTATATTATGCACATTAACAATACCTTATTGTCTGGTAGACCAGGGTCGATAATTTTGAAAATGGTAAAAAGTGAAAAAAAATTATAGTAGGATGAAACCCGTTAAAAAAGGACGAGAATATAACAAAAATGAAAGAAAAAATAATTTACGGGCGATCTGAGGTCGGGAAGTGGAAGGGGGTGAGTTTTTAAGGGTAAAAAACGGTGTATTTCGATTTCCGACAAAACTACAAGTCCTATGGAAAAAAATTCAATGACAAAGTTGTAGGTAATAAAGAGACCTACAACTTTTGTGATTACACTTTTTTCACATAACCTCAAAATTTATGTGAAAAATTTAAATAATCAAGTTTTTGGTTTTTTATTTTTATCTTATGCAAAAACAAATTTTTTTTCATGAAATTTGGTGAAAACTTACCATTTTATGTCCTAAAGACACTAAATAGCTCAAAATTGTACATAATGAATAAAAAAAAAATTCGGATTCGAGTTTTTATCTTTTCTTTGCATTTTCTGAGAACATTTACCATAGTTATGTATATATTTTTTTACATTATCAGAAAGAAGAGATTTCAACGAACAAAAAACTGCCCGACTTTTTTTAAAAAGCTAATATTTTGACGCGAGAATTTTCGATTGAAAATTAGGGTGTTTTTTCGATATTAAGTCAAAATAAGGTGAAAAAATAAATATTTCAAATCAAAAAAATTACAGTGTCTTTAGGACATAAAAAGGTATTTTTTTCCCCAAATTTTGAGAAAAAAAATTTGTTTTTGCATAAGATAAAAATAAAAAACCAAAAACTTGATTATTTGAATTTTTCACATAAATTTTGAGGTTATGTGAAAAAAGTGTAATCACAAAAGTTGTAGTTGTATTACCTACAACTTTGTCATTTAGTTTTTTTCGATAGGACTTGTAGTTTTGCCGGAAATCGAGATACACCGTTTTACACCCTTAAAAACTCACCTACTTCCACTTCCCGATCTCAGATCGTCCGTAAATTATTTTTCCTTTCATTTTTGTTATATTCTCGTCCTTTTTTAACGGGTTTCATCCTACTATTATTTTTGTTTGTTTCAAAAATTATCGACCCTGGTCTATGGCCAATTATAGGCAAATCATTACGAATTAGGTAAATATTTTTTTCACAAACAGTTTCATTGAACATCGTTCACGATATTGTAAATATAGGGTTGTCTCTTTTAATTTCTCAAAACCCGGACCTTTGTTTGTGAAATTTCAGCTTATAATTTTATAAACGAGGTTCTCATTTGCTGTTAAAAAAAAATTATTTTATTAACCGGGTCCTTCTGTCGTGCTTCTAAAAATATCCAGATATTTCCAGATATGTTCATCATGCGACCGGACACTGGACAAATTGTTCAAAACCCGAACAGTCTGGGTGAAACCCCTACGTGAATAGCATGCGAAAAAAAATTAACAGAAAATAGAAAATAACAAAAATATATTTTATTAAAAATAGTATCCAGTATTTTATTTGGGAAAAAATGAGTCAACAATTTTATTTTATCTAAAACTAAAATCACGGGTAAATTTGAGTATAACAAAATTTAATTTTATCAGCACTTATTACTAAACAATTATTTAAAAAAATTATTGTATAATAAGGAAACAAAATTGTATGCATTATCTTATCTTGCGCAAATATATTTTAAAATTAAATATTTTTCGCGTTCCTAATTAATATTTTTTCCTACTATAAGTATCTAAATGGGATTAAACAACAATTTAAGTATTCACTTAAGATTTCAATGAGCAATAATTATAATCTTCTTAATGTGTACTGCTTGAGGAGTAGGTAAGTTAAGTATAAATAAAAATAAACTTACACTTAATGAGGGCAACAACCTGGGTGTGCGTCGATTGCATCACATTAACCCCATTGACTTTGATGATTTTATCCCCGGCATGAAGACCTGCTTTCTCGGCAGCACCACCTGGAAAAAATCGAAATTCAATAGGAACAACACCAAATGAATCAAATGATGTATAGAAATGTGTATTGAAAGCATGTTAGGATATTATAACGTACAATTACAAATCGGCATTCTTAGAATTCGAAATAGCTTTTTTGTAGTAAGTCCGCGAAATCACTTTTTTTTAACGGCTCATGAGCCTGTCAATTTGGTATTCAACTGTACAAACAATACTAAATGCCAATGGAAATTATTGTAATCACATAAGGATTGGAAAAGAAAAAGAGAAATAAGAAAAAGAAGATGTACTTGAAGAACGGAACTCATTTCCGATTCTGGACACCGACGTGTCAACATCAAAATGGTGGTCTCAGAATCGGGAGTCCTGTTTTCATAAAATATAAAGTTTTAAATTGACCATCCCAACTTTTAAAGTATTACCAAATACTTTGGTACATTCTGTGCCAAAGTTTCAAATACATATTTTTATTAAATATCAAGTGTAGTGAAAAAGTGATGACTATATGGTCAGACGCACGAGGGTGCAGCTTTTTCATGAAATTCATCCTACAAAAAACATAACCTGGGTAAATAATCCTGCCCATAAAACCTAAGAAAGAAGAAGAAGAAGAAGGAAGAACGGAACGTTTAAATAAACGAAATTATTTCAATTTAATTCTGTTATCATAAATGACCGAAATATATGTCTTAAATTTATTTATTGATAATAAAAACAAAACTATATTGTATTTCTTTTATAACATATTTAGAATAAATACGAGGATATATCAGTATATAACGAGACTGGTGCTATAACTTCTTTCAGAGGTAACATTTTATAACCCAAAAAATGAGACACGAAAGCCTTATATTTAATGTACTACCCCGCAAGTAGGCTTTGATTTAACTTTTGACATTTGTTACAAATTAATAATTGAATTGTCAGTGTTTTGCGTACCCCATCGAAAAATTAAAGTGGAGCAAAGATACGCGATAAAATTTTGTGTTCGATTGGGTAAAACACCAACTGAAACTTTTGAAATGATTAAGGGTGCATATCTAGATAATAGTTTATCACGATGTAGAGTGTTTGAGTGGCATAAAAAGTTTAAAGACGGTTGTGAATCAGTTGAAGATGAACCTCGTCCGGGTCGACCACACACTGCGAGAAATGACACAAAAATTGCAGAAATTAACGACTTCATACAAAATGATCGCCGGATTGGCATAAAACGAATTTCTGACAATGTTAATTTGTCTTACGGTACCACTCAAAAAATTATTCATGAAGATTTAGAGTACCGGAAGATCGCGACAAGATGGATTCCAAAAGTGATGACCGATGAACAAAAAGCGAATCGAGTGACAATTTGTCAGCAGTGGAAAAGGCAATTGCAACGTAACCCACAGTTTTTAAATAATGTGGTTACATGTGACGAAAGTTGGTTTTATCATTACGATCCTGAATTGAAGTCTCAAAGTATGCAATGGAAGCATAAAAGCAGCCCAAGACCGCAGAAGGCCAAAACTGCTAAAAGCGCTGGTAAAGTGATGCACCTGATTTTTTTTTGATAAATTTGGCGTTATTTACGATCACATTGTACCTAGAGGACATACAGTAACAGGAGAGTACTATTCTAATATACTTTGAGAACCCTTAAAGGCAAAATTAAAGAAAAAAAGGCCGCTTTATCAGGACTTTGGCTGGACGCTGCATCACGACAATGCTCCGCCTCATAGATCAATGATTTGTCAACGAACAATTGAAGAATTAGGGGTTGAAATTATGGTTCATCCCCCCTACTCTCCTGACCTTGCTCCATGTGACTTCCATTTGTTTCCTGAAGTCAAAAAAGAATTGAGAGGTAGAAGATTTGAGTCGGATTTAGAGCTCAACAACGCTGTGATGGGTATACTAAACAGACTATCAAAAAATGGTTTCTCAGAAGTTTATGATAAGTGGATAAAGCGATGGAATAAGTGTATTCAACAGAATGGAGAGTACTTCGAAGGATAGTTGTTGAATTTTTTTAAACAAATGTTTCGTTGTTATACTATAGCACCAGTCTCGTTATTTTCTGATACATCCTCGTACCATATGTACAAAACTCGTTTTTCAACCCTCAAAATAGTCAAAGTATTCTAAAAGAATCCTTACGTATTTTTGACTAATGTCTGGATGAAAACACCCCGCTAGATGTTATTGAATAAATCATTAAAACATATATTGATTAGATTAAAAAAGATTTAACCTCAAAAATGCATCGGAAACCACCTCAACATGGAATTAAGTATTTTCCTGTTGCTTGTAGATATAGAGGAAACCCCGCTAAATTTGATTGATTAAATAATTATATAAATTATTCGATCATTTTAAAAATATTTGGCAATCGAAATTCATCGGAAACCACCCCTGCTACGACCTTTAGAATCATATATTTTTCTGTTACTTATGAAAAAAAGAAACTCCGCTAAATTTTATTGATTAAATCATTATATAATATATTAATTAATTTTAAAAAAAATTCAGCATTCAAAGTGCATTGGAAAGCAACCCTGCTGAAACCCTTAGAATTGTGTATTTTCCTGTTGTTTATAGAAAAAAGAAACCCCAATGGATTTTATTAATTAAATAACTATATAATACAGGGGAACAGCTGTTTTTTTAAATTTAATTTAAATACATTGTTGTATTTTTTTTCATAGGGAAGTACACCTACGGTTAGGTTAGATAGATCTAAATATTAGGATATACAAAATTTTTCTAAAATGGTCCGTATTCGAGAAATTTGACAAAATGTGTAAATTTCGAATTTTGAAGAAAATTCAAAAACGGATAAAACATTAAATTTTAAACTTAAGTTTTACTTCTGTCTGACGTGAAATGATTAGATTTTGGACAAAGTCGGAATATCTGGAGGGGGGGGGGTACTTTATGGGAGGCCGTTTTAATATTTTATGGATTATATCTGTTATTTATGTTTGGAGAAGAAAATTATTCAAATAAAAGTTACTTCTAATATTATTATCTATAAATTTTGCCTTATGTCAAATTTTGCTGAAATGGTCCGTATTCGAGAAATTTGACAAAATGTGCAAAATTCTGATTTTTAAGAAAATTATTGATCGATATCTATAATTTTTGTTTATACATGATTTTTCTAAAATGGACCGTAATGGAAAAATTGGAGGAGAAGTTCTAAATTTAAATTTTTCAGTATTTTCGTTTTCAAAGAATATCTATAGCAAAAATGTTTCGAGGTAGATGTAGGTATGTGGAAAATGTATATATTAGCACCTCTAAACATTTAAAGAGGTGCTGCAATAGGTTGTACACTTAGATAAAAGAGACCAGAGATATAACATACACCGGTGTTTAACCTGCGCAAATGTTGCCAAGTTCTAAAGAAAGGTTAACGGAGTGGGGGAAACTGGGCGGCGACACGCGGCGACCCGAACTCTGTGGCAGGGACCGGACTTTGTTTATTAGCATCATAATGAACTATTTTTATTTAAAAGGTGTTTAATCGAATTTTGTATTATGAAATAAAATTAACGTGATTTTTTAATATCAAAACAGATGCCACGACATTTTATATAAAGAGAAGACTTTTTATAGAATATTTCGTTAGCGTTTATTTACTACGGACTTTTCTGCAAGAGATTACAGTAAAATGTTTGAAATAGAATATATTATTGATAGAGCAAAAAATGTTACTCATTGTCTACGAGTATTATAAAAATAGCATGTGCGCAGGCGAATACTGCAAATCTAACCTTATGAGTTGAACATATATATTTTTTTTACGGCTATTACGTAGTATTAAAAATAAGTCAAATGAGAAAAATGCTGTTTTTGTATTATAACCTCAGAAAAATATATGTTAAGGCTTCTTTCTTTAGGAATATTAATTATTATAAAGGATGAGTCACATAAAACTCTAGAAATGCATATGTCTGAAACCAGATAACATTTTAAAATTTAAATCTATTAAAAGTAATTTGGTCGCTAGGGATGAGTGATTATTGAAATAAATTATCGATCATTGAAAATAATCGATTATTTTCGATCAATCGATTATTTTCAAACAACATATTTTTTTGTCATTTCCTTTAAAATCGACTACTTGATTATCTTTGAAAAATCAAAAAATAATCGATTAATTAAAAAGCCAATTAACCGATAAATCAGTGTTTACAAAATATAATAAAAAAAGAATTATCGTTTATTTTAAATAATCGTTTATTTTAAATAATCGATTTATTTTCAAATAAACCATTTTTTTTTCGTCCGTGGAAACAGATTATTCGATAATTTTTAAAAAATCGAAAATAATCGATTAATCAAAAATAATCGATTAATTAAAAAGTCGATTAACTGATAATCGATTTTCAAAAAAAAAAAACAGAATGATCGACTATTTTAAATAATCGATTATTTTTGATCAATCGATTATTATCAATAATCTATTTCCTTTAAAATGGATAATTCGATTATCTTTGAAATACCAAAAATAATAGATTATTCCTAAATAATCGTCTGTCGAAAATAACTAATTATTTCAGAAGCCGATTCTACGATAAATCGATTTTCCAAAAAATAATCGAATTATCGATTATTTTCTAATAATCCATTTTTTCGTCCATTGAAACAGATTATTGACAATCTTTGAAAAATCGAAAATAATCGATTAATCAAAAATAATCGATTAATTAAAAAGTCGATTAACTGATAAATCAATTAAAAAAAAAAAAAAAAAAAAAAAAAAAAAAAACAGAATTATCGAATATTTTAAATAATTGATTATTTTTCATCGATCGATTATTATCATCTACTTTATTGTATTTCCTTTAGAATCGATAATTCGATTATCTTTGAAATATCGAAAATAATCGCCTAATCGAAAATAACCAATTAATTAAGCCGATTCTATGATAAATCGATTATTATCAATAATCTATTTTATTGTATTTCCTTAAAATCGATAATTCGATTATCTTTAAATACCGAAAATAATCGATAATTCCAAAATAATCGCCTAATCGAAAATAACCAATTAATTAAGAAGCCGATTCTATGATAAATCGATTTTCCAAAAAATAAAACGAATTATCGATTATTTTCTAATAATCCTTTTTTTAATATTTCCTTTACAATTGATTATTCGATTATTAAAAGCTGATTAACCAATAAATCGATTATTTTAAAAAATAACCAAAATATCGGTTATATAAAATAACCGATTATATTCAATCGAATAATGAAAAATCCGATTAAACAAAAATTGATTATTTTGAATAAATCTACTTTTTTTGTATTTCCTTTAAAATCGATTAATACATTATCTTAAAAAAACAAAAATAATTTATTAAAAACAGCGGATAAATCGATTTTCACAAAAAAATATCAGATATTAACGATAAATCGATTATTTTTGTAACCCCTATCGGTCGCTTGCTCCGAGCGTTTAGCTCAAAAAATTTAGAGATTCGGATTTTTGATCCCGGTTATCTTTGAAACCGCATTCGATTTGTATAATAAATAATATAATATTGCTAAATTTTGGATTTTTTTAGTAAACGAAAATTTTGTTCGAGTTGTTTAGGGGTTTGTAATGTAACATTTTATTAATGTGACCAACTCCCGTAACTTTAGTATTTTTTTGCTTATACTAGATCATATGGTGCGTTTTACTTTGTTTTAAGACTGAAGATTCAAATGTCACTTTTCGATTTGACCGCAAATAAGATGAACCTTGTAATTTTAAAATAAAATTTAGCTAGCAACTATGATTCTTTACTTCTTATTTATCTACCAAAAAAGGGCTTAAAATCACCTTTAGAAAAACATTCTTATAAAACTACTTTTTAAATACAAAATTTCGTTAGCAACAATGCCTATTTACTTTTTATTTGAATTAAATTTATGTAAGTAATATGAAATCTGATTTCGGATGCTTAATATTTATTGAAACCCCTTAATGCGGATCTGAAGTATTCAGCCCAGAGAATCATGGCGCTTCATGTCAAAACGTTAATAAATATTTACCACTGAAAACGAATATGTTCATAACATTAGTACTTGTATTATAAGTACATACATTTTTTCAAGATACCATCGCGGCATTTTGAACTTGAAATTGATTAACTAGAGCACTTTAAATGCTAAAATACCAACAAATAAATCAAAAAACAGCTGTCAATGGTGATTAAACTCAGGTGGAGGTGATCGATGAATGGAAAAATCGGAGTAATTCGGGTGGCGTCGTGCAAACAATGATTTTCAATTGGTGGTTACTTTGGGTTAAAATAGACAACATGCGCAGTGTGCAATGTTACATCTTCGGTCTCTTAATCTAAGGTTGTACAAAATAACCGGAAAAAACCTATAATAACTAGATAGGAACGTCATATGTTGGACATATCAGATTTTTAAGTCTACACAAATCATCCATTGATGTTCGTGATACTTTATCTTCTGCATGACCAAAGCTACGGTATTATATTCTTCTTTCAGTTTCGTTGAGTGAGCTAGTGGTATTGAACCATGAACCATATTTAATTCCCATTATGTAGAAAGACATATTTTCGCTTTGAACTGTCAATAAATAGGCGCCAATCATCTGGAATATATTCAAAAGTCCCATTTATTTCATGAGTCCATTAATTTCGTGACAAAATACAATAGTCCAAGCGGCGACCGTCGTAAAAAGGTGGTCAACCAGTATAAGTACAAAAATATATTTTATTACTTTTTGGGTATTAAGATGAATAACAAACCATCGGGGTAATCTATGACTTGTCCAATTTTTTTTTTTTTTTATAAAATTTGTTTTTTATTTTTTTTTTGTAAAATTGATCTACATAACTTAAACATAATTTTTTAGTTTGCGATGGCGTTTTGATTAGATGATTATAGAAATTCAAGTCTGGTGTTCTTATTCCTGACGCAACTGTTTGTCAGACCACCCCCAACAAATTTATTACAACAACAAATTTTCTATACAAGGTATAAGAAAAAATCAAACGTCAAAATGTTTATTTTTTATTCCTCTTTCGAATAAAATTTTTCTATAATCAACAGGAAAGTACACGATTCTAAGGGTTTCAGCAGGGTTGCTTTCCAATGCACTTTGAATGCTGAATCTTTTTTAAAATTAATGAATATATAATATAATGATTTAATCAATAAAATTTAGCAGGGTTTCTTTTTTTTTTCGATGCATTTGGAATGTTAAACCTTTTTTAAAACGAACGAATAATAACTGGCGAAATTTAAAAAAATTGATAAAACATTTGTTTACCCCGATTTTCAAGAATATACACAAATTAGACATGCAAAATATCAAGATATCAAAAAAATTTATTTGAATGAAAGACCAGCTAAATAAAAAAAAAAACCTTATAAACTAGGGCAAGCTGAAAAAAATTTTTTTTTCCTAACATCGGGATAAAAAAAAAAATCTTTACATTTTGAGGTGGCCCACTCGTTTCTTAAATAAATATTTAATCAAATGGGGTAGTTACAGCGGGAAATTCTTTTTTTTGTCCAAAATTGTGGAGAACATGTAAAAATTGTAGAATGTGATTTTTTTTACTCAACTTTCATTCTAATACAAAAAAAAGTGCATTTCATTTTTTGTTTTTCACTTAAATTACAAAAATAATGGGAAAAAACTTTTTCAACTTTTGACTTTCAATTGGCTTTTGAGGGGACACCCTACAGATTCTGGAACACCTTTTATATTTTTTTTACTACCACCTGTTCTCAAGTTATTTATAGTGATATCAGTGCAGGTAAGGGTTAAAAAAAATTGTGTTTCCTCTATTGAACAATAACACTTCCTGTTCAAATGAATATATTTTTGACTCAAATTTTTCAAAACAACAAAAATTCCGTTTGTCCAATTTTCGGTGTTCCTCAAAAAGTAGAAAAACGTTTTGGACAATATAGACTTTTGAATGGTTGCAAAATACAACGAGGAGCGTAATATTGACGATATAAAGAGAATGGAGCCGCCGATAAATAAATTGTGTCAAATTTTGTAAGTAATGCGATCAGTTTCATGGTCTAACAAAATTAAACTAAAAATACTAACCTTCTTTAACACTTTGCACGTACACCGGATTGTCACCCGAGACCTTCATGCCATACCCCTTGTCGTCGCGATTGACGACGACACGCACCACGTGCGCCGGTATTTGGGAATGATCCATGAGGGAGGCGGGCCGCCCCGCACCGCCCGATACTGGTGTGCCAGGAATTGGAGACGGCCGCCTCATAGAACCGTTCATGCACAACGATGGACTGCTGCTGAAACAACAATTTTTTCATACATCACGATTTCATTATTTCAAAATTATAGGTCGTATTTTGAGTTTTTACTTGTTTTCGGAAGCTAATATTCATCCAATAACATTCATAAATTGTGATATGACTGCAGTGGCGTAGCCACGGAGGGTTTTGGGGGGTCACAACCCCCCATAGTGGCCTCCGCGTTGCCGTTTCCGCTATCTTATTGGCGCTGATCGATATTAACTGATTGTTAACCCCCCCATAATACTCAGAAAAATGTCTAGCTACGCCACTGGACGACTGTACTTATACTGGGTGTCCACTCAGAAACTTCGCATGGCTTTATTTCTGGTAGAATTTAAGTTGAAATCTTGAATTTTTGGGCTATAAAACAGGGAGATCAAGGTTGGCAGGTACAGGTTTTTTTGCATTTAGGTTAAAAAAAAACAAAGTAAAAATTCTGTAATTGTAGGTTTTTTACTTTTTTAAGATATTCGGTAGTGAATATAAATACAAATGTAAACATTTCATCAAATATTATACCACTTCTTCTTGATATTAATGATAATGACAAAATATTAAAAAAATACCATTTATTTATTTTTTATTTGTTTGTAGAACGTGATTTTTTTAATAGAATAAGAATTCTGTTTCCGGTTTTGTTTGATTTTTTTGTTTAGCGTTAATAAAAATAACTTGTAACATACATGAACTAAAAACATTAAAAAACCTATAAAACCTTAAAAAAACATACTTTTATATTTTTTTATTCTGTTTTTTCCAACCTTGGGGGACGCACTTAATTTCACAAATTTTTCATCGCACTATCCCTTCCAACTTCGCCCTTTCAGGAGAAGAGAACTGGGTTGATAATTTTCATACAGATTGTGAATTATATGGGAGAGGGATAACACATTAAAAAAACGCGCCAAAAACTCTAAGTACCTAGAAATTATATGTCATAAATGTGGGGTTTATCACCTCCAGATGGCTCGACAAACTCCAGCACAGTATAAGGGATGAAGAAAAGAGCAAACTGCATAACATATCCTAAGCAGAAAGGTGTACAAAGCCATTTGTTGCTTCTATGATTTTTTGTTTATTTTCGCCCCCCAATTGCACCCTCTCAGACAGCTCAACAAACTTCAGCATGGCATCAGGGATGAAGAAAAGAGCAAACTACATAACAACCCAAGAAAAAAGGTGTACAATGACATTTGTGGCTTCTATGAATTTTTTAATTTTCACCCCCAATTGCACCCCCTCAGATGGAGCAAAAGTTAATTGCGAGTATGATTGTTATGTTTTGGAACCCCCTAATTGAAATCTGCAAATAAAAAGCCTTTACATGTCATTTAAACCAAGTTATTACAATATTTTTCTCAGTGTATATTTGTGAAGGTGGATAACTTCACATTCGTGGGAATTTTGAGTTTCATTTTTAATTTGTTAATTTTAAGGCTATTTTTATACTATACTTGCAAAAAATCAGGGTGCTCTGCTAGCTTCAAACGAAGTCAGCAGAGCACCTCAGTTTTTTCAATTTTTTTTTTTTTTTTTTCTAGAAACACCATATTTTTAGGCTACTTTAAGGCTCTTGAAATAATATGAAACTTCTAAAAATTATAATTTTTAAATAATATAGAGTGCTTTGCTAGAAAAAAGCCAACAGTGCAACTATGTTTTTCAAAATTTTTGTTAAACAAATACACATATTTAGGTTATATTTTGGCTCTTGAATTTTTTTTTGGTATTTTTAAAAAATGCTTTGCTTGCTTCGAATGAAACCAGCAAAGCACCATGTTTTTTTTTTAGAAAATAAGTAGGTATACTTCATTTTTAGACTATTTTTGGGCTCTTGAAATATATTAAACATTTTGATAAAATTTACTCTTTTTGAAAATTGCTCCTTTATCATTTTTTATGGTAGCAATTATTTAATAAAGTTTTATGTTTCTAGAAAAAACTTTGAAGTCAGCAAGAAATCACGTATTTTTTAAAAATGGCAAATTTTTTGTGAATGTTTTTATAATATTTCAGAAACAATTTGCCATTAATAAAAAATATGCGATTACTTGCCGATTCAAAGTTTTTTTCTAAAAACAAATATATATCACATTTTTAGGGGATTTTTGGGATATTAAATTATTATAAAACTGTATTAAAAAATTCCTATTTGAAAAAAACAGCTATCAATTATGCACCGATGGGACACTCTGTATATTTGTTATTGGCTAACATGTTGGTATCAATGGATAGGTAAATTTATAAGGAATTGTATGCTAAAATAATATACAGGGTGTTGCATTTGAAAAAATTGAGTAAATTGAACTCAAAATTACCCATTTTTAAGACAGGTTTCAAGATACTCTGTATAAAAAAAAACTAGTTCTATCACCACTATTTGTTAGCTTAGTATCTTATAAGTCTGTATCTTAAACAATTTTGAAATTATTGTAAATCTACCTAAATTATGATAATTTAATTTGGGGTTTGCATCATTCTCTATTTTAATAAAAATTCATTGCTTAGCAACACTGTAATATTTTTTAAAAACATTCTAGGGTTGAATACAATATTACCAAACTATTCTAAAAATAAAATACAGGGTGTTCTATTTAAAAAACATACATTATTTGCCAGGCAAAAACGCAAATATTTTTAAAATATGTGCTTTTCAATTCCATATAATTTTTATTTGAAACTTGTTTGGGTGTCTATACCACAAATTGAAATATTGAATAATTATGCACTAATGGGACATCCTGTATAATTTCAAAAGCATAAAAATGTGGCACAGTTGCATTTAGAAAAACCCTTTAAAAACCCAAGGTGTTCCATTGGCTTTGTTTAAAGTTAGCAAAGCAGAAACCAGCAATTTTTTTTTTTTCAAAATCTTTATAATATACTAAGAGCCAAAATATAGCCTAAAAATGTGTAGTGTTTAAAAAAAAAAACTTAGAAAAACCGAATTGCTTTGCTGGCTTCTTTCTAGCAAAGCATTCTCAATTTTTTAAATAAGTTTCATATTATTTCAAGAGCCTAAAATATCCTAAAAATGTAGTGTGGTTTTTTTTTAGAAAAAGGCTTCAAAAAACCTTAGTAATGGAGCAAAATTATAGAGCATTTATTTACTTATTTACCTCGTTATTTACATCTTTTATTGTCATTTTTTGCCAAATAAATGTTTACAAAACCATTCCTGTATTAAGGCTATTTTGCTCTAAAAAATGTTTAGGAAACCACCCCTACCAGGAGTTCAAGTGTGATCTTTAGATTGAACCCTCAGGAGACAGTCCCCAAGCAACCCTGAAAAAAACATTATTTTTGTATTTTTTTTTTAAACTAACATTGTTCTAGTCTTCTTTTAATTTGTAGATGCCTAAAATAAGCCAAAACAATGCAAAAAAGATAGAGACAAGGAAAAATTTCATCAGAAACATGCTTAAGCTATGAAAATGGCATAGAGAAAAAGTTATGACTGATAAATTGCTTCTTTGATATGCTGCTGGAATATATTAGGAATATAGATATGGAATAAGTAACTCTGCACCTCAATCTGTGCTGCAAATAATTGCCTAGTTTAACACTGAATAGTGAAATGTGTTTGTTAATTTAAATACTTAATTAGTTCATGTTTACATTGCATATTAAATTAAATATTAAAAATATGTTTAATGTTTACTCTCCAGTTTACTATTCAGGGACATACTGCACCTATACACCAGAGATAATAGGAGGTAGAGCTATTCATTGATAAAATATAATATCAATATCATAGTTGATACAGTCCAGTTGTAGATCAGGAGTGAAGCGACATGTGGCAAGAGGTAAGGGATAAACTGAAGGATTTTATCAATGAATATGTGTAAACCTTTGTTTGCTGATAATAAACAATGTACACAATGCAAGCCCTGTTGCCACATCTAGTACAAAATACTTGATATCCAACTTAACATTAACTAGCTTTTTGGAATTTAATAAAGTTACATATAATTTAGTTAAATTTGATATAACTAATGTTCAGTTGCAATAGTATATGTTGAATTGTTTTAGCTTTCTTAGGATATGTAAATAATTTTGTAAACAAAACAAAAATAATTAAATAGGCATGAGAACAGTGGGTATTATTCCCTCCTGGGTCCCTTAGAATGTCTTATTCACTATAGTATGATATTTGTTTGCATTTAAGTAGTGCCTGTGCAGGGGACAGATAGAATTGCTTCACCCAGGTATTTACCATCAGATGGTAGAAGCCCACAAAATGACCACTTCCCAAAAATGGGGTATCTAGAGACTTTGATCTGAAAGGACACCCCTCAGTGACTACCAATAGGTTTTTGATGAGTTATTAACCTGCAGCAGGGTTATTCTACTAAATTTATAGCCCGGCTACAAGTTGGATTTTGGCTTAAACTTTATATGTTCCTAACTTCAAAATCCAACTTGTAGCCGGGCTATAAAATTAGTAGAATAACCCTGCAGGACTTTGAAGAGATGAGAAGATGGCTGTCTCCAGGTATCCCATAGCATCAATCAGCAGATTTTTAATAAGACAGGAAATTGATAAGCTGAGAAAATGGCTGTCTCTAGACACCTCTCACTGACAACCAGCAGGTTTTGACAAGTTGAGAGGTAGTTCCTATCTGCCCCTGGAGGATGCACAATGCGCCTTATGAGACTTAAATAATGTAGATCAACCCAGTTTTCATGTTTAAAAGTAAGAGTCTCGAGCCAAATGTATAGGTACCTACATATTTGTTGAACGCTCTCATACTTATAGTACAAAACTTACTTAGAAAGTTTATAAATAGTTTCAAAGTTTTTGTCAAGAATTTGCTAAGAAATTTATAATAAAACATAGTTGTCCATGTCATGAAGACTTTTAGAAAAAATTTTTCTCTATTCAAATAAATCATGTTTTTGTTTTTATTGGTCAATTTTAAAGTGTCATGGCACTAGCCCACTTTTTACAGTTTTTAATTTAGTTTTTCAACAACTGCATTAAATGACCTGAAGGCATGTTTATGGTAGTGCCAATAATAAAATGTTTGGCAGTACTTTGGTATTACTTAAAAATATCTAGTAATTACTGGCAGTACATGACATTGATGGTAATATATCCTAATATACCCTAATTCACAAATTTCAGAGGTCCAATTTTTGTCAACTAAGCCTGCAGCTGATAAAACTGCTATTTTTTTATTACTATAAGTTATTCTATCAATATTAAGTAGTTTTGTAGTTTTACCATTTCCATAAAATTAGTAAAAATTGACTTCCGACATATACGAAATAGGGTAACAATATACAGCCTTTCTAAAGTTCAGGGGTATTTTTTTTATTATTCAATATTGTTTAATGCAGTTTCATAAAGATTCTCAGAAATAAACCTAAGTAAAATAGTAGAAACGTTCAAAATTTAGATGATTTAAGTATAACAAGCAAAACTATTCCAAAAGAGTGACAATTATTGGTACAACTGAGTGTAAGAACTAAAAATATATTTATTTTCTTTGGGTCAATAGTATGGAACCTTTTATTTCTATGATAGAAACACTATGTATTTACAAGTCAATAAAATATTACCTAAGTAACTGCAATTTATTAGATTAGTAAGTGCAGAAATTAAATTTGCATAATCTGTAAATGAACATCAAAACATCATGAACGCCTACTTTGCTACAAAAATAAATTGCCAAGTAATAGATCGTATATTTTGAGTTTTATGGGATTTTTGTGTCTATTTCTAAGTATTGAAGGAATGTATCAAATTGTAAATGTTCCCTAATGAATTGTCAATAAAAATTAGAGACATTTAATTTAAGTAAATTCAGAAATAGTCATAATAAGGTATATTTAATAGAACTAGAACAAATGGGAGTCACTTTTAAGATACCTAAACAATACCGTAACACGAGTCAATCCTAGACATACGACTATTTGTTGTTTTCTTTTAATTTAGGTAGCAGGTAGAGAAATAACAAGATGACGTAAGTGTTGACTAAATCAGTGCCCTTCGTTTGTTATTACAAGTTATTTTCAAAATACACCCAATTTGCCCCTTTAATTGTAGATAATCGACTTACCTATCAATAGATGATACAGAGTTATCCATTTAGATCTGCAATAATCCTATATTTACTGTACAAAATTGTAAATAATGAACGTCCACGGAAGCAGTCATTTCTAGCGATTTCACTAAATAACATTACTACCTAGAGTTTTTCCGAGAAACTACACAATACACAGACACAACACTAACATATTTTATCGAAAATAACAATTTAATTCGGCGAAATAACTAAAACTCGGTCGAAATTCTGGCTTACAAATATTAAAACCAACAAGTGTCAGCCATCTTGAGTTTGAGATTCTCTATACGGGGAAAAGTGAGGTGCGCCTGCGCGAACCATTTATTAGTTTTATAGTTCAATGTTCATTCATTTTAATTTGTATTTTATATTTAACTTTACTGTCACATATACTGCCTAAACTTGTTTGTAATGTGTAATAATTTTAAATCTAAAAATATAAACAAACGTGATAGATACCTATAAGTATTTCTATATTTCTAACCTATAAAAATATCTAGGTAAATAGGTAGGATGTTATTTTGATTTTTATCAGTTAATAGCTACACCGTTTGTATACATACAAATTTGGCAAATACACAATAATCTATTTTATTTTAATTGTGTATAAATGAAATTAAACATAGGTATTTTTAAAAATAAAATCTGCCAAAGTTGTTGGGCAGAATTATAAATAGGACAGGACCGGCTTGGATTTTGTGACGAATGAACTGCGCCTACTTGCCTGTTCTCGGTTCAGTTCAAGAAAATGAATTGTTTTTCTTGTCAAATCCTGTGAATGACGTGGGAGAACTGGCAAATATCTTTCCAGCTTCTGTCCCCGTATTGTTATTCAGTTCATAGATAGTGTATATACAGAGGACTTACAATTTTTTTAACAAATCTAAAAATAGAAACTAAAATAATGTAATCTATTTTTGGATGGTCCCTTAACCCGAGACGATTTCTGGGAAACCAAAACATCATAAACCAGGCGGTCGACAGAAAAGGGTCGTTCAATCATATTATAAGGTTCAATCAGTGGGTCAACTATTTGGAAGGGCAGATTATCGAACACCGTTGAGGAATGCAGTCGATTTCTTTTGTTAAGACTGTGTTATTCCATTTGCTTTAATAATTATTATTTTTGTAACATTATTTTAATATTAATAAACTTCATACGTAAAATAAACATTTAATTATTTGTGTAGTTTACAATAAGGAATACGAAAATTATGCAAACGTTTATTAAGGTGCCGTGTCTTCGCCAAAAACAGACCCAGTTCGTCGCACTAAATAGGATCGAAGGAGGCACGTTGCTTTCCATTTTCTGTCGATTTTTAGATCGAACTCAAAGGGATTGGCACGTCTATTCTGACCATAATGACGTTATATTCCTGATAAAAATCATACTAACTGATATGCGGAGCCAAAATTAAATAACTACAGTTCGCGACTTATTTTTAATGTATCTATTATAGCGTATGACGTCACCAAGAGCTCGTTCAGACCTTAGACTAGGTATAAAGAGAGGACTAGTAACGTGTAGCAGGAAATCGTATTCCATTCTGACACCAATGCTATTTAACCAGATGCGTAACATGTTGGAAATAAAACAATGATTTTTTGTTTTTAGTACCTTATTGGTCTTTTTATATATAAAGCACCCCCTGCAGAGTGCGAATGTTATGGAAATGCTTCCGTACTTGTCAATGACCACCTATTAGAATGCCTGTGACCAAATGCAGATTCTTCTACACTTACACTTATGTTTACAATTCGTTTTGAGAGAATATGTTATGTATCCACCCACTAACCATCTGTAGAACATACCATTTTTTGGGGATACACCTCAGAACCAACGAGGATCTGATTATACCTACCAGGTTCAGTGTGAGTTCTTGCAGACCCCACTGAAGTGGGGCTGGATAGATACCGTCAGGTCATGGCGATTTAAATGAAGAGATGCTGGATACTGCCCACCTAATATGCTTGCACTTCTTTACTATATGATACAGAAGGAAGATTAGGTACTCCCATATTAAGAAACACACTTGAAAAGGTTAGGCTCCACATTAGTGGGTTTAGAACATCCTCTGGTTGTGGAGATGGTGTCCTGTCTATCTGTCTCTGCAGTTTTCGTAGATAACAGCTGAGCCATTCATCTGGACGTGGTATTGTCTACTCTTCTGCATGAGAGTGATCTTTTGACAGATTCGTATGGCGTGTTGTCAAACGTTCCTCTATGTCTAGGAAGGCACACATACTGTTTCTTTGTTTGTCAGTACATCCTGAATTTTATCAGTCAGTTGTACCAGGGCAGTTTCTGTATATCTTTTTGCTCGACAGGCGTGCTGGCTTCTCCATTGTTTTTAATACAAAGGATATGAGGTTGATTGATCGGAAGGATTTAGGATGCGTGGTATCCTTTTTACCTACTTTTGGAATAAAGGTGATTTTGTCCCTTCTCCATGATTTTGGTATATATCCCAGTTCCAAACGGGTCTGGGATATCCGAGCCTTTAGGAATCCCCGAAGACATATTGGCTGCCCGATTAATCCAAAAGAATAGGTAATTAAAACTATGAATAGCAGTATAAAATCTATTTATTTTAAATATAAGACAATAAACAAAATTATCAAATTCAAAAAATTGTATGCAAATTGATTACCACTATTATTAATTCTAACGAAAGGGTAAAAAAAGTCATAGGGTAATTTTATATCCAAACTAGGTGGATCGACAACTTTTCTTTCTTTTTTAACAGTTAAATCATAGAAACTGACTCGGAGTTCCAATTCGGTATTTAACAGCAAAGAATTATCATCTTTTTTAAATGGTAGCGAATAGCTTGCAGAGTCATCGAAAGATAGAGTTAAAGCTAAAATTTTTTCTTGATTTATTAAAGATCCAACATCAACTCTGGAATGAAAAATATCCATGTTCAAGGATTTAATCATACTTTTACACAATACTGAATTATTTTTTGGATAATATTCTCCTAGAGTAGTATTTAATATGGTTTGAGGGAGCTTTTTGTATAAAATTTTCTGCCAATCGTCAGGTTTTTTAATGTCAGCGTTACCAAAGGATCCTACCATTTTGTTACTATGTATATTCCAGATTTTCAATATTGATTTTTGTAACGTTCTACATAGTTCTGTACCATTAACAACTTTTTTATGGTTATAAACGGTTTTTTGGAATTGACATCGAGTTAACACGTTATAACCAAATTCTATACTCAAATATTCAGAGGACGTGAATATACAGTAACCGTTTAAATTTTTGGGAATAGTCAAGAAACTGTCGGTATATTCAGATACATTCCTTTTTATTGACAATAACGTATCGGTTCCGTTTTTAAGATTCTCTAAGATACCAATTGCTATTGGCCTTCCAATCAAATAACCTGGATTACCGCTTAAACTTACAAGCCTTTTTGTTGTAATATTACTCCAGAAAAAGTTCACAAAAAAGTCTTGATTTATTTGCGGTACATCGGTCCCAAATTCGTAAGATATCTCATCTAAATATGTTAGTAATAAAATATCTGTCAAACCTTTCGTTCCATTATGATAAAAAATATATTTTAATTTTTTTACCACACTTACGCAAGTGGTACTTTTGTCTTTTATACTTAAATTGCATCTAATATTAATTCTAGAATCGTTTTTTGATAAATTAGCACAGTGGGTAAATGATTCGTCACAAATTTTTGGAGTAATAGATAAACAGACGTTCTTGGGGCAGCTCTGAAATAAAAATTAATGTTTATTTTTTCCTCTATCATTTAGTTTATTATTTATAATAGACCAGTAGAGGATAGGATGATTGACGCAGTGTAGAGAATCCGTTTAACATAAATATTCCTTATTGGACCACTTGAATACACTTGAATACAATAATATATATGTGTTTACCTCTAATAGTTTGTCCTTGTACTTAGTTATGTTAAATAATTTTGGAACAGCTACAAATCTTACATTATCAATATAATATTTCAAACTAAGTTGCGAATTTTCTTGAGATAAATCGACTTGAGAGCAACTTGTATGAATATTTTTTAAATAAAAAATATTCTCTTTGATTAAACACCGATTCGTTATGAAACTGTTCGGAACATCTAAAAATAAACAAAAATAGATATAAAAAGAAATTTTAACAGCATATACGAATCTCTTACCAAATTTATGTAAGCCCTTTTGATCTACGTACCAAATAGGACTTCCATAAATAAATTTACTACTAGAGTTAAAAGAATCGCCACCTTGAGTGTATTGTGGCCATGAAAATTTATTATTTTTCTCATATTCGGACTCTTCAAACGTTTTTAATGGCTAAAATAAAATAGAAAAATTTCTGTGCCTTTTTAAATTCATATTAAATAATAATAATTAAACTTACATGTTTTCTTTGCAGTATAAAAGATGGAGGAGTGTTACTTTTAACAACGCAAAATAATCCGTTTTGGTTAATTTCCCATTCGAAACGGGTATTATTGATATAAATATATTTCACATAGTCGCAATACCGAGCATCGTAATATCTAGGCTCAACTTCACACTGTTCAAAAACTTCTTTATCTTGAGAAGAACAATCTTGATCGCAGCAACAATTCAAGTCGCAGATGTTTAGCTAAAAAAAGTTACGACGAAAATATTTAAAGGAACCATACAAAATAACAAAACTACCTGCAGATCACATGCACAAAAGTCAAAATCAGGTGAAACTTGTTTAGTATTGGCTACTTTATTTGGAACCGTTTCATTATTGTACAAAGGTATAATTGTAGTTTTTTCATTATAAAATTCAGACGTAGTATATTCTTCAGTAACATTTTCACCTTTAAAATTAGCATCAGTAGTTGTAGAAATGCTAGTAACCTCAGTACTAGCGAGTTCTTCAATTTTGATAATTTCTTTACCAAAACAAGTAACAACGAAATAAATAAAAATAGTGAGCGCTATCTTTTTCTTAATATTCGACTCCATAGTTCACGAAATTCCTAAAAACGACGTTGATATCAAAACTTACAACTCCCATAGCCTCTGTTGATAGTTTATATCGTTCTCCTGCCGAAAATACTTGTTCGGGATGTTTTAATTGAACCCCACCACCTAGAAAGTATTGAAAAAAACGCTGTTTAATAGATCCGAAAGGTCTCCACGTGTAACAATCGAGATTGTAAGTTCCTGGACTAGTAGGAATGGTCACAACTCCATAGCCAAATATGTGACCACGACCTAGCCAATCAAAATGGTATACTTCAATGAATATTTTTGGCCAACCTAAAAGAAATTGATATCTTCCATTACTGTAAAATGGTAATGATTATTGTACCTCTAATTCCTGAAGTTGCTAAATGGATGTCAATAGGAAAAGACCATTTACAAATATTATCGAAATCAGACCAACTAACTTGCGTTTGTCCTTCCTTTTTACCAGATATATGTCTCCAATTGTTTCCTAAAAAGAAGAATAGGAGTAGAAGCAGAAACAATTATCGAAGAATACCAATGCGGCTATAGAAAAGGCAGGCATGTTGCTACGAATACTAAATACTGACCCATATTATATTCATTGATTTTAAAAGCGCATATGATACAGTAAATCGACTAACAAATACCTCTTAAACTTGTTAAACAGACAAACATGACCCTGAAAAGCACAAGTGGGCAATAAGAGTAGCTGGAGAGGAAACCAAAGATTTTAAGCCCAAAACGGACATATGCAGGCAGACCAGTTATCCTTTTTTTTTTTTTAACTTATCAATATCCTACAAAAAATTGCGAAATTGTCCGGATATACAGTTTTGGAGATATGGCCAGACGCTGCCCTAAACAAGGACTTTCATTTTATTTAGAAAAACATCTAAAAATGTATGACTGCTAACCTGCATGAAACACCGTGTATGTTAATTTATGTATTCGATCAATATAAAACTTGAACCGGTCCTGTCCAAGCCGGCACCGTCATGCGCATGCGCCCCGACACGCAATTTGCTTCTTGATTTCACTTTTGATAATTTCGATGTACTATATGGAATTTTCCTTTAATTTTTCACTGTTGGGTGGCCCAACTACTATTTCTATGGGTATATCAAATATCAGGGGTCATATATATCGAAAAACCACCCTTTAAAAAATAGAAAGTACCTATCTAGCCTGATGTCAACTCCTATAGACAGGACATGAGATTATTGAATGAGTTTTAGGATGAGTAATAGAGGGTGTTTTGTGGTAGTATATTAGAATGGGCTGAATACGTTGTTGTAAAGAAAAAAAAGTACTTACCAACTTGCAAATGCCACCTGCAAAATAAACGTTGTTTAGGAAAATCTTTGGCTTGACATATTTGTCCTATTATATGCACTTCAGCCATAAGAATTTTTTAATTAAATTCACATGTGGTCTTTTTTTACACATAACAAGAAACTGAAAGCTCTGAAAAGAATAATAATACCTGAAACGTATTGTGACAGTAAAATTGTTTGTGTAATTAAATATCGTTGCCTAGTAACGTCAATAATTTAACACGAAGCCATGAATTGCGATTACTGGTGGAAAATTTCATTTTTAGTTTGAAGGAAATTTTATATACAATTAAGAAATATTTAAACAAATCCTGTATGAATGATTTGTTAATAGAATCAAAGAAAATCATTTAAAAGTTAGCCGCTCAAGAAGCGCGAAATTCGCATTTCCTTAAAAATTATGGGAGCTCGTCGTCCAGTGTTGCCATAAGTACGGTAATTACCGTACATATACGGTATTTGTAATATATGTATGGTGTATTGCCTATATCGTACGCGAAAATATGATAAAATTGGTAATTTTATATGAACGAACTGTTGTATTTAATACTAAAATAAACATAACGTAAAGCCATTTAATATTTAAAATCAAAATTTAGACCAAATATAGACGTTGTCCAGAATGAACAATTCAAATTTTTATTTGAAAGATGCAAATAAAGATACCGACAGAACCAACTTTTAAGTAGGGCATCCGAAATTTAAAATAGGGTACCTACACCGCCATTATAGGTAAGTCAGACACGTAGGTGAACAGGGGTCGAAAATTATTTTCAAAATAAGCTTGTATGTCGCGTTATAACATTTTTTGAATAAATGCTTTCATACGCACCTCATTGTTTAGAAATTTTTATATCAATACATAATCCTATTACAAAAGATTCATATTTTATTTGAAATATTCCATACCATTATCTCAAAAACCTGTCGATAGATGGCGGTAATATCACTATTCTGAATAAACGTTTAAACACGTTTTTAAAACAACAAACAACGGTTTAAATTTTTGGAAAAACTTGAAACTGGAACAGATTTTTCGACTGTACCTACGTTTTATTGAAAAATAACTGCTAGAAGCGTATGGTTATTTTGGTCATGCATATAAGGAAATTCAGTCTTCGACGTGCGGCAACGTCGCCTGTCAGATGGGGCGCACTTAGCGCACACCCAAGTTCGAGACCAGTGTTGCCGTTCGTAGCGACTTATCGCGAAAATAACGACATTTTAGTGGTTTATGAGAGTAGCGGCGATTTAGTCTAAATTAGCCAAAAACAGCGACTTTTTGATCCTTAATACATTCATCACTATAATAAAATAACAAAACGCTATTGGTTATTTAGATGATTTTAATCGACGCCACGATATATGTTATTGCAACGACCTGCTGATCGCCATCTATCGAAGAAATCAGTTGTCTACAATTGGGCATTTATTAAAAAATACATTTTAAAATTATACACATATTTAAACAAAATGAAGAATAACTCATACAAGTTTATGCAAAACTACTAAATCGTTAACAAATTAGATTCAGACCCTGGCTGAATATTTTTTTTATTTATTGTTGCGTTAAGTTAGTTTAAATTACTAAACTAAGATTAAAATGACATTTTTACATTAACAATGTCATTGTAATCTTCGTTTAGCAATTTAAACTAAGTTTAACATAACTAGAGAATCGGCCCTTAGATCTTTAAAAAATATATATTTTTAGTTTTTTAGGCAATACCACACACACGTTAGTGTATGTTTGATTGCATATTTCATCTATTATGATGTAGAGACAAAATAGCGACTCTAGGCGAACAAAAATAGTGACAATGTCAGATGTCGGTGCGGCAACACTGTTCGAGACATGCGTAAAGAAAGACTAATTAATTATTCAGTTTTTTAAGATGGCCGTGGCGTGAAATTTCTCATTTAATGAAATGGTATGATATGGGGCTGATTGTACGTTAACCTCTTTCGTTTTGTTTTTTATTTCAATATATTTGCCAAGGTAAGTGGAGTTTTATTTATATATCTTTAAATATAACATATGTTCAGAGATATCCGTATCAAATAACTGTAAAAGTGTCGTTATTTTGGGGATTTAAATACCCATTTAATGTCTGAAATAAATAGTCTATTGACCTAGGCACAGTTTATAGCTAAAGAATTCTTTTAAGCAATAAACTGTGACCTAGGTATGACGATTTGCGATTTGAATTTTGGAGTGCAAAGTCGTTTCGTATTGTGCTGGCCAAAGTTTTTTTTTTTCGTTTAGTTAAGGATCCAGGTAAAGGCTTTAATACTAACATTTCCTTTGTTAAATTAACCCTTCTCTTCCTATAATTTAAAAGAAATTGTTTTCTCTTGGTTTTCTTTAATATAATATGCCGGCAATTGTTGATAATGTAAATAATCATTAAAGACCGGACATTTTAATCGCGTTCAAATAATTGGTTTTAATCACATAGGCGTCTCATTCTGGGTTCGCTATTTAAGACGGCAGACAGTGCGGCAGATTCTAATACTATCAGGACAAACCTCTTTTTTTTATTAAAACAAGATAAAAAAAGTGTACTGATATATACATAGACATTAAAACTAATACAAAAAAGTGAGATTTTTTTTTATCGTGTACCTATATTCTTTGTCTTTTGAATCATTTTCATTAAACAAATTTAATGTTTTCTTCTCACCAACGCCGAGGATATGTAGGATATTTTACAAAAGTTTTTAGTAACCTCAGATCCTTTAATTTGTGGCCTGAGAAATTTTCCTTAAAAAAAAATAACTTTTTTGATGAAGATGTTAAACTTTTCATAAGCGAGTTTAAGGTGTAGTAATGTAAACGATATTCTGTATGATATTTTTTTTATTATTATCTCTTATATAATTACAAAATATCTATTCCTCAATATTTTGGCGTGGTACACTACTCTCCTGCCTAAAATGAGGATCGAGGACCCCAGCTGCCTCCCCCGAATTTGTTATTTCCTCCAGAAAATTGGAAATTTCTAGCCTTAGCTGGTCCCGATTCATTGTTGGAGAAATTGCATCGGGGCCAAATATTAGGACTCTACGAGCGTTTGGACTAAGACGCTGTAGAGAGGGCCTAAAATGAATGTCAAATAGGCCCATCATATGTTGTCTTATACTTTCTCGATCCATTGTCGGTTAGTTGCCGGTGATATTTTTATTCAAATAAAGTCAATCCTTATATTATATTTATGAATATTTTGGCTTTTATCGATACCGTACATACCGATTTTTTGTAACAAAACATTTATGTTTTTATTTCCTGTGGATATTATGGTACTTATACACGATGAGACAATAAAATAAATGTCTGTTAAATTTCTGTAATGTATGTATTAATTCAATTGCTCACTCTATATAGGTATCTGTTGGTTGAAAAAATGTAAAAAGATAACAAAGAGTCGATAAACAGGAGATTTGAGAAGAAAGTGTCTTGTAAAAATATCACTAGATTTTTCCAATGAGTATATTTGTTTAGTTCAAAGGGAAAAGTGATAGAAACTGGAAACGTAAATATGGAAAATTTATTATCGGACTTTGATTGTTTTCGTCGTTTTAATGACAACAAATTATACTGCCGCAATTGTGATCAGGTGTTAGTTTTTAATGGAAAGTCAAGTATGACACAACATGTGAAAACACAAAAACACATGCAATCTTTAGAGGGATGTCCAGACAAAATCTTTTATGAAGATTTATGCAACGCATTTGTTTCTGCAAATATTCCATTAACAAAATTAAATAATACAATTTTCAAAAATTTTCTTTGTAAATATACTAAACGTAAAATACCGGATGAATCCACAATTAGAAAACATTATATTCAAAATCAGTACGATAAAGCAATGACGGCAATAAAAACGAAAATTTCCAGCAAATATATTTGGGTTAGTGCAGATGAAACGACTGACATAAAGGGTAGATGTGTTGTTAATGTTGTTGTAGGATTATTAAGTGCTGAAAATACTTCACAACAGTATTTAGTTTCTAGTGTGTTTCGTGAAACTGTGAACGCTGAAATGATTTATGAAATAGTGAAATGTGGATTGAACAATGTAATTGATAATGACGTTTCAAAAGTTTTATTGTTTATTTCAGACGCGGCAAGTGTAATGTTGAAAACAGGGAAACTATTACAAGAACATTTTCCAAACATGCTGCATGTAACTTGCCTTGCTCACGCGTTACACCGAGTTTGTGAGTTTATCCGTGACAGCTTTCCAGACATTAATTCGTTGATTAGCTGTTTTAAAAAAATTTTGTTAAAAGCACCGTCCCGAGTTTCTTTATATAAAGAAATATGTCCGAATATCCCCCTACCTCCACAACCAGTTATTACACGATGGGGAACTTGGTTACAGGCTGTGTTCTTTTTTTCGGAGCATTTCGACAGACTAAAAGTATTTATTTCCAACTTATCAGAGGACGCTCTCTCTATCACTCAGTGTAAAGGTTTAATAACAAAAACAACTTTGCAGTCGGAGTTAAATTTTCTTGCGACTTATTTTTCGTGTCTCCCAGAAACTATAAAATTCCTTGAAACCCGTAACTTACAATTATCGGTTGCTATGGAAAAATTTGAATCGACATTGTTACACTTAAAAAACGTAAAGTGGCCCTTACAAGATAAATTTAACCATAAAATAGATTGTTATTAAAAGAAATCCAAATTTACAGACTCTAAAACAAATCTCCCTGAACAATTTTAACGATTATGAAACTGCTTTAAAATATTGTGATTTTGTTCCACATTTTTCATTTGCTCCTGTAACGAGTTGTGACGTAGAACGATCGTTTTCTAGGTTTAAAGATTTATTGACTTCTAAAAGAAGTAATTTCACTGAAGACAATTTAGAAAAATATGCAGTCATACAAACATATTTTTCAAATGAAGAAGATTGATATTAATTTGTATTGTATATATTGTATATAATTGTATATTTGCTACTTTAGGATAAAGAGTGTATATTGGAACACTCTAAACATAAAACTAATGATGGTGTATCCTCGTTGATATATTTATTAGTCAATAATATATTAACAGAAAAAGCCAACAACATTATCCCACAACACAATAAAAAAATAAATAATAATATCATTTGTAATTATATAATAATATCCAACCAAATTTGAACTAAAATTTAATAAAATAATTATTGCAATGTAAATGTAATAATAAGCCCGCCCCAAATGTTACGCCCGGGCGATAAAAATCCAATATCTTATCTACTGTGTCGACCAGTTCAGTAAATAACTTGTTTTATTCAGAATGTATTATTCAAATCGAAGGTCCGCTCTTACCGTTACTTCGCTGATAAGAATAAATTAAATTGTCCGGTCTTTAATAATCATGTAGAAAATGAGGTTGTAAAAAATGTCACAAAAAATTCTGACAAAAAACGTCTAAATAGAGATAATTAATACATACCTAGATAAAGGCCAATATGAAGTATACATTGAAGCCACTCTTGATAATAAAAATATAGGTAATTATAATTATTTAGCTATTGCTCGTGAACTTTATGACCTTCAGGTAAATAATATTAAAAAGATAAATAAAAAAGGGAAAAATAGAATTGAGGTAGTATTTTCGGGTTTTAAAGAGGCAAATAATTTTTTAAGTAATGAGGAATTAAAAGCAAAAGGGTATGCTCTGTTCATCCCTTCAAAAAATGTGTCATTTAAGGGTATAGTTAAATTTATTGATAAATCATTTGGTTACGTTCCACTTTAGGGACACACTGTTTGACCAGTTTTACTTTATTTTTTGATTTAAATGATATTAAGTATGATTTTAACTCACCTTAGGTTTGGAAATACGAAAAAAAGTATAAATCAATTATATATTTTAATTTAATACTTTTTTAAAATAAAGGTGCGTTTAGTCAGCCTGATTTAGTTTTAAGCATTAACATAGACATTAACATAAAAGTTAATTTCAATACATTTGAGTGTACCTGTTTATACAGAATAACATAAGAATAAACATTAACATAAATTTAGTGAAGATAAATAAATCCAACTTAAGAGGAGTATTTACTTGGCTATAGCGCGGAGCATGCAAGGGTTTCGTAGTACCCCACTTTTAAAGTTTATTTTTGACTTTTTCTAAAAGAAAAAAATATGTACGTATAGGTAAAGGTTAAATCTGTGCTCCTCTGGACACAGTTTTTCAAAATTTGATTCAGTTTTTTATAAAAAAAAAATACAATTTTTTTTTAGAAAAAACTAAATTGAATTTTGAAAAAGTGGTTCCAGAGGAGCATAGATTTATTCTTTACCTACACGTACACATTTTTTTCTTTTAAAAATAGTCAAAAATAAAGTTTAAAAGTGGGGTACTACGAAACCCTTACATTGCAAGATTTTTCGTCTGGAAAGTGGCGCCTCTGTTAGATTTTTAGGAAATTAATATTTGTGAATGAAAAGAATTTATAATATATTTTACTGATATTTTACGAGGGATAAATAAATTTTACCTATTTGTACAGCTTATTTTTTACGTAAATCATTTCTGTATTACTAAGATTGACATATACAGGGTGGCTCACGCTCAACGGGACGGAGCTTTATGGGAAAACGACCAAAGATATAAAAAATTCGTTTGGGAGGAATACGTAGGTTACAGACAGCTACAATTTAAAATTTGTTAGATGTATACAGGATGTCCCACATAAATGAAAAAAAATTAGTTCATTAAAAATTATTCAAACAATAGTAAACAATTAATTTCTGGGAGACTTTTTTTCCTTAAAAATTCAAATAAATCGAAAACTAATAATAATAGTAATAGGGAACCTTTAGTTAACTGACATTATTTTTGATGTAGTTTTTAATTCTAAAATAAAAAACGGTGTTCCAATAAAAATAATATAACTTTGTATATTTTCTCTTATGTGGGACATCCTGTATACATCTAACAAATTTTAAATTGTAGCCGTCTGTAACCTACGTATTCCTCCCAAACGAATTGGTTATATCTTTGGTCGTTTTCCCATAAAGCTCCGTCCCGTTGAGCGTGAGCCACCCTGTATATTATATGCAAGGGTTTCATAATGCACCAATTTTACGGATTATTTTTTATTTTTATCAAAAGATAATTTATGTAAGTACAGGTAAAGGCTAAACCCATATCTCTCTGGAGTCACTTTAAAAATTTAAATCAGTCTCTTCCGAAAAAAATCTAAGAAAAGAACCGAAAAGAAATAGAAATTTTAAAAAATGCTAGAAGGGAACAATATATTTAATTTTGGCCTACAGAAGTATTTATTTTTCTTACAATAAAAATAGAAATACATTGAAAGCTTTTTCGCCTAAAGGGTGACACCAACAAAATATATATCTTTTTCAACTATTTAGTGATTATTTTATTAAAATAATTTTATCACTTATTTATTAAAAAAATATCCGAAATTAAAAGGTATACACTTTTATTAACATAACGCAAGGAATCTTAAATTATTTTAAATATTTTTTTTTTTTTTTTTGGAGTGAGGGTAGTCATATGTGAGTAGTAGGGATTAAGTGTAAGGGTTAAAGAAAAAGTCCTTTATTTCTCACAAAGTCAATTTATTGGCGACCGGTTTCGAAGTTGTCACTTCATCATCAGGCACACCTAAATGGAATGTCAAGGAGTCAGTTGTAATAAAAACAATTATAAAAGCATGAACGGACTTTAACATATACAAAATAACAGAAAAAAACACAAAAGAAAGTTAAACAATAACCTTGACTCACCTTGACTAATTCCATAAAGGAAGCGCTACAAAAAGTTTAACAGAACGAGTTAAAAAAGTCATG